CTTGTTTTGCTAGTGAGAAGATGTTTTCATCCTAACGATTTAGTTTACCACTCAGACATTTGCATTATGAAGTTTGTTTTGCCTTGTCGAAATGGGTCTTTCATGTTCTTTTGTAAGCCATAATAGCATGATATGCCGGATTATTATTTAGATTGACGCACCTTGTTAATATTGCATCTGAGAACACGTTAATTTGTGACTGGTCAAAAGACCTCATGTCAGTTAATATGGGACCTCACGACCCATCAATGCATTGTGTTCTTTGTCTCATCCTTACTCTAGATGGTGAAGATGTTATTGACTGTCAACCAATATTGAGTTATTTACACAAAGGAATGGAAAAAATTGCAAAAAATTGAACAGTTATACTTATCTGCTTTATGTAAGGTGTTGGGATTATTCAGCTACATGTTCACAGAAGCATTAACTGTAAATGAACCGAAACAGTTGGGGAATATTCAAGTACCTAACAGAGCCAGTTATATAAGAGTAAATTTGTCAGAGTTGAGTTGTATAGGTAGCCAAAAGGGTCATGTATGGAATGCTCATTGAAGCGGAAGAAAAACCTCCATAGATGTGTCCTCGCCTTTGCTTTCCAACTTGTTTATGTGAACAGTGCTTATGGAGAAATTTGATCTGTTGAGGATCTAATGAGCAGAGCCATGTAAAGAAGTGGAGTATTGTGTGTGTGTGTGTGTGTGTGTGTGGACACGCACAAAAGATGTTAATAATATTTCTGAAATAATTGCTCAAGTGCTTGTTGCTAAACAAGATATTGTGTTGGTTTATTCCTTCCTGTAAGTTGTCTTGGTACTTAAAGCAAGCTCCCATTTTCATGCAATTTGGTATTTAGTGTGGCTCCAAAGTCCAGATGCAACATCTTCTCTTTTGTGTTCTGCAGCTCTTAAAAGATTTCCCTCTAGATTTGGTATCTTTGAAGAGGGCTCAAATATTATGCTTCTACATGGGTCGAGCAGATCTTTCCCTGAATCTTGTTGAACAGGTTGCTGGTTCTCTTTCACCCTTCTTCTTCTTTGGCTTTAAGTTGAAGTTGCATTAGTAAAAGAAACAGACTTTGGTCAGCACAATGCCAGATGTACTAGTCCAGCAAGGAAGCAAAAAGCAGTAGACAAATATGAAGGAACAGAAATATATAAAGTGTCAATCCTCTGTCAATGTTTTTTTTTTGTCAATCATTCCAAGTTTCTTAGAAACATGTTAATATCGATATTTTTCTGTGCCAGCTAGTATAACTGCAGCTGTTATTTTTTCTTGAACAAGCAAAGCATTCGATTGGTCACGTTCTTTTTATTTCATTTATAATCACATCCTTAGTTGCTGATATGATGATTTCTTTAATTCAACAGGTTTTACCAGATAATCAACAAGAAAATTACGTATATGGGATGCTTGCTTTTCCTTTACTGGAGCTTGGTCGAATGGCTGATGCTGAGAAAGCAGCAAAAAAGGGTTTTGAGATAAACAATGAAGATTGTTGGGCACAGCATGCCGTGAGTATGATAACATACTCCTTCTCTGCTTAGCGATTGGAATCTGGGATAAATCGTTGAGTTTATTTTCAGCTAATGGTTTTTTGAACAATTGCCTCCTTATCTTGCAAGTAGTTCTGTAGGCTTCAAATACGATAACTATTTCTTTTCTTGTTGTACTATTTCGAAGTGATATTGTCTATGTCCTTGTGCAGTTGTGCCATGTTTTCCAGTACGAATGCCATTTTAAAGAAGCAGTAGAGTTCATGGAAGAATGTTCACCATCATGGATCTCTTGTTCATCATTCATGTATGAGTATCGATCGATGAGAATTATGATGAATTCCAATATTCTCGCTTATAATGTAACTTTACATTTTCAGGTTAACTCACAATTGGTGGCATGTAGCACTCTGCTACTTGGAAGGTCATTCTCCAATGAGAAAAGTCCTTGATATATATGATAATTGTATATGGAAGGAACTGGAAAGACCTGATGCTGTGCCTGCCGAGGTCAATGTCTATGCTTTTAGTTGACTTGGTGCATTGATCATCTTTGACAATGAATTGACTGTGTATACTGTGGATCCAGGTGTACTTAAATGCTTTAGGTCTGCTGTTGCGGGTTCACGTGCGTGGTCACATAAATTTTTTTGAGGAACGCCTAAAAGTTCTAGTCAGCTGTTTGACAGATCAGGTGAGTCATATCTTACCCTTGTTGTCCAAGAATTTAGTGCCTGATCAGACTGCATAATTAAGGACATAAAGCTAATTTTTCCTATCAGTACCTCATCTATAAAGAAAGATGTGCACACATATCAGAATAACATAGCAATTGATGTGAAACCATATTTTGCTTGTTTTGCCATGGAAAGAAAGCAATGTGAGCAGCACCCTCCAAGATTGCTAACCCTTGGCATCTTTGAGTGCGCAAAGAGAATACTTGCTTTTCTTGCTGCCTCTTCTGCCTTCTCTTCCTTTCGTGTCTGTTTCAGAAACTTTTAGTGGGATCAAACATATGGTCTTTTCTTTCGTTCCCATTTCTTTCCTTTCTGCCTCCTATTGAATTTGGTTGAATTTTTTGGACGTCATGAACTGTTGACGAATTGGTGGTAATTACACAAAATATTGTTGTATCAATGGTAAATCAGAAACTTCTCATTTGCCTTGTATAAGTCTGCTGTGAGTACATCGGGATTTTCCCTCAAATATTCCGCTTTGGTCCTCCATTTGACAAGGATTGGGAAGCAATCGAATGGCCTGCATGTGCATTGCCAATACCGAATGCCTTCTGAGTGTTGCTGGCTTTTGTGAGATGAGTGTAGTTGTCTAAGTGTTTGACAGAGACTGTTCTCATGGAAATAAAGTAAATTGACACATTGAGCAACCATATACTTCTCCCCCCACACAACCCCCCCCGGTTAAGCGTTACATAAGTGTGAAATATTATGTCTTAATGATTTCTTTATGAAAAAGGATTCTCTTATTTTTGGCACTTGTGATTATGAAATCACTTGAACATTCTATTCCACATCATAATTCACGATCTTAATAGTTCTGTTATGTATGAAATTTTGTTAAATTGTTCAGAAGACTTGGTACATCGAATGGCATCTTGATTTGTTGACTTTATGGGCCTTGGCATACTCGGGAGAACTTTCTAAAGCAGAAGAACTATTCAGTGGCCTGAAATCCAGGTTACGAGGATTTTTCCTTTCTTGCAACTGCACTTTTTTATTTCACAGCAGCCATTTGCTTATTATATTTTATTTATTGATGTAGATTTTCTAGGATGAGCAAGAAGAAGCAATCATCTATGCATAGGGGGATCCTGGTTTGTTGAATACTACTTTGCACTTCAATGCATGGCAACTTCATTATTTAGGAGAATTAGACTTTTACTCTCTTGTAGTGCACTTAAATATACTTTTTAAACTTTATTTCACTTGAACCTGCATTCTATATTATTCCGCATTTTTTTTCACCAACAACCTTTCTAATCTAGAGGCATGCGTGAGTTTAAACACTTGATTTTGATCGGCTATTTCCGGTCATCAACCAAATCTTGGTTCTTAAACTTCAAGGCATCATTTATTCTGTTATTGATTCTGCATAAGTTTTCTTTCAATTTTCTTGTGCCATCGAAAAGATTGCTTTATTTGAATTCGAATATCCTTTATTTCCACTGCTCTCAGCTTGCAGAAGCTATGTTTGATTACGGGAGTGGTAAGTATGAACAAGCATTGAAAGTGCTGGGTCCAGATTTTGATGCCAACAACTGTAAGGTGCTCTTATGAACCGTCAGCTTGTGCGACTGAGGTCTTCTTTAGACTATACTGTGCCGAGGATCGACTAATACACTTTCATTATGCTAGATGATCGGGGCATCGGACGAGCAGCTAGATGTATTTAATGAAGTATGGTTCATTATGCTACTAAGTACTGGACAAGCTACAAAAGGTATATCATTTCGCTTGCTTATTTGCGATCCAAGCATTATGTGGGTCTTCTTCTGATTCCCAACTATGAATGCTGCAGCGACTGAAGCAATCCAGGAGCGGATTAAGAAAAGGGAGGGCGCTCCTTTCTTGTGGCAGTTGCAGGTACTGCACTCGACCTTGCGAAAAACACTCGATACAAACAATCTCATGCACCTCATAACTTTTCGGCATTTGTCGAGTCTCATTTCAGGAAAGAGGCTACAAGCTGATGGGCAAACCGGAAGTGGCGGCCATGAGCGAAAGGGTCCGAGCCCTGGAAAGCGCATATTTCAAGTAGCTGGCAACATTACCGACATTTTCCTCCTCTCTTTCCCTGTAATGAGAAGAATGCAGTTGCTGTAAATTCCATGCTCGCTTGGAGCACCACCGATAAAAATCTTTGGTAAATGTAGCCCGTCCTGCAATTCCGCAAAAAAATTCTTCCGTACTCTCTTGAACCTCAAAAATCTACTGGGCTATACAGTCTCCTCGGAAAGTGTCCTCTTTTGCTTTTTTCCCCTTTTGACTTTCTTACAAGAAAAGGAGAAAACTACTCATGCATTGTTGAAAAGGAGAAGCGGGGGGGAATTGATGTTAATTCATCAGCGATTTTGAAGAGCAAAACCAAAAAGGAAACCAACACGGCCGAAATCAATCTTTGCATTGATGACCATGATCACACATCTGTGCATTCATTAAGCATTAATGACAGGCATGGCTCTCTCTCTCTCTCTTTCACACCTCGCTTGTCTTTTCGGCGGTGAAAACGCAGAGCCAATCAAAATCTCAGGAGGGTTCAAAAAATCTGCGTAGCCAAAAGCCAAAAGCCAAAAGAAGAACAGAACAGAACAGAGGCGTGTTACGAAGACAAAATGCTTAATGAACAACAACTCTCTCTTCTGACAGCAACCTCATCATCACTCATCGCCAGTCAAACTTTCTCCCACCCATGCTTTTACCCCACTTCTTAAATTCGTTTGCCTCCACATGATTCTCAAAATATATAACAAAAAATACCCCACCAAATTCATTCCCTTGAAACCTCGGCGGGGACCACTGACGATGCGACATTCAAACCGGGGCCCCCGCGCGCGCTCGACCCCTGATCCGCCTGAGCTCCTCCGCCACCTCCCGCGCGTCGGGCCGGTCGTCCTTGTCCGCGGCGACGCACCGGAATGCCAGCTCGGCCACGGCGGAGACGCCCTCCTCCATCGCCGCCGCCTCCCCTTCGCCGCCGCCGCCGACCGCCATCGCCGGGTCCACCACCTGGTGGAGCATTCCCGTCTGTATCCGCGACACCACCAGGTCGGCCAGCGCCACCTCCGCCTTGGCCCGCTCCTGATCCACCGCCTTCATCCCCGACACCAGCTCCAGCAGCACCACCCCGAAACTGTACACGTCGCTCTTGTCCGTCAGCCGGAATGAGCGGTGGTAGTCCGGATCCAAGTAACCTGGCGTCCCCTGAGGACCGGTCCATATGTACTCCGAACCGGTCGTCGATGATGGGTTCCCCGTCCTGTCGAACACCAACAGCCTTGAGAGCCCGAAGTCACCGACCTTGATCCTCATGTCCTTCTCGACAAATATGTTGGACGACGTTATGTCTCTGTGCACGATCGGCGGAGTCACCGAGAAGTGCAAGTACTCGATGGCCGTGGCGATCTGCAACGCCATGTCAAGCCTCACCGGCCACGTCAGCGAGCCTTTCTTGTGCGAGCTCTTGCAACCGTGGAGGTGGTCGGCGAGAGTCCCGTTAGGGACATAGTCGTAGACCAAGAGGAGCCCTCTCGGGTCGGAGCAGTACCCGTGGAGCTTGACAAGATTCGGGTGGTCGATCGACGACAGTATCAAGATCTCGTTGCAGAACAACTTGGTGGAGAACGCGCGCGCCGCCGCCGCCGCGGCGTTGTGGTGCTTGTGCAGGTGCTTGACGGCGACGGTCCGGCCGTCTCGTAGCCTCCCCAGGAAGACCGACCCGAACCCGCCGTCGCCGATCTTCCGTCTCGGGTCGAACCGGTCTGTGGATTCCTCGAGCTCGTCGTAAGTGAACACCGGCGGGAGGAGGCTCGCCGAGCGGTGGCGGCGGAGGAAGACGACGGTCGGATCTTCCTCCGAGGAAGAGGAGGCCTCGAGCCGCCTCGACCGGAAGATCGCGACGATCACCGAAAACAGAAGCAGCGCGCACGTCAAGGCGAGCAACAGCACGGCAACGCGGTTCGGGTCGCCGCGCCGGATCCACGGCGGCGAGAACCGGGACTGCGCGCCGAAGCAGACGAACTGCTTTCCCGGGTCGTCGAAGTTGAAGCCGCAGACGCCGCCATCGGCCCGACAAGCCCGGCAGCTGGCGAAGTAGGAGTCCTGAGCCAAGTCGAACTCGACCTCGATCCCAAAATTCAAGACATTGTCGAGAAAGCCAAGAACGTCAGCCTGACAGCCCTGCTCGGAGCTGAGACGGTGCGCATTGGACCCGCAGTCGCTGAGCAGACGGACAGGGCTCTTGATGAGCTTACACTCCCACGGGCAGCGACTGCAGTTGGGGAGGTTAGGCGGGGAGCAGGGGCGGAGCACGGAGAGGCGGGAGCAAGAGGAGTCGGAGACGCGGAACGGGGATCCGGAGAGCGAGATGGCGCGGCTCGGGATGGCGGAGGGGCGCGACGACGGCGTCGTCGTCGTCGGCGGCGGCGAGGAGGAGGAGGAGCAGTTGCCGTCGGGGGGAGGGGCGGGGCGGGGGGAGAGGGTGAGGGAGGAGGAGTTGGGGTCGTAGCGGAGGAGGGAGAAGGGGAGGCCGTTGATGGAGAGGAGGGAGTGGGGGGAGGCGCAGCGGATCTGGAAGGAGGGGTGGCCGCAGCCGGGGGAGGCGGAGAAGGGGTAGGGAGGAGGGGAGGAGGAGGGGAAGGGCGGGCAGGGGCCGCCGGGCGGGGCGGAGCAGAGGTGGGAGAGGGCGAGGGGAGGGGCGAGGACGAGCACGGCGGCGGCGAGGGCGAGGTGGAGGGAGAGGGGAGGCATGGCGGTGGGGGTCGAGCGGAGAGAGAGTGGGGGGGAGAGTTGTCTAGCGAGAGAGGGAAGATGGTGGAGTGAAGATCTGCATCTCCTCTTCTTCTTCTTCTTCACCCAGAAATAGAAAGGGAGAGAGAGAGAGAGAGTAGGGAGAGTATTTTTACTTGGGGGGAGCGTGAGAGTTTGTGGGGGGAGACTCCTCAGAGAGAGAGAGAGTCACGTGCAGAGGGAGAGAGGTGACGTGAAGACAAAGCTCGAGGAAATATGGTGGACGTTGGAGGAGGAGGAGGAGACCGACGCTGCGCATCCCACCGTCGGTCTTGACTTTTTTTTTTGAGTTTGAGCCCCGTACACGCTAAAATTTTGCAATAGCCTTTTCTTTCTCTTTTATCTTCGTATTATAATTTAAAGGAAAAATTCTAAATATAAACTTAGGCTCGGTTCGTTTCACGAAAAATAACTTTCAGAAAAATATTTTTTGGGTTTTCCGGCATTTGTTTCACGGAAAATAAACTAGTCATGGAAAATATTTTTCCTCGATGGACAAAACACATTCAAAAGTATGAAAAATGTTTTCCTCACACTTCCTTCTTTCACCATTCATTTTAATTATTTTAATTTCCTTTTTTCAAAAATTCTAATTTTTAATTTTTTTCTTTTTTCTTTTTCTTTGACCTTCTTCTTCGGCCGATCGTCGGCCACGGCGAAGGACGGCAACTGGCCACAGGCGACGCTAAGCGTCGCTTAAGGGCGGCGAGGCTTGGGCCCGCCAGATCGGCGCTGCTCGAGCATCGCTTGAGGGCGGCGAGGCTCAGGCCTCGCCAGATCGGCGACACTCGAGCGTTGCCAAAGGCGAACGAGCTCAAGGCCTTGTCAATCTGGCGAGGCCCAAGCCTTGTGATCTGGCCAGGCCTGAGCCTTGCCGCCCTCAAGCCACGCTTGAGCTCGCTTGTGGGCGGTCGTCAGCCTTCGCCGTAGTAGGCAATTGGCAGGAGAAAAAGATCAAAAAAATAATAATAATAATAATAAAAAGAAAAGAAAAAAGTTAATTAAAAATCAATTTTAAAAAAATTATTAAAAGTAGTGTATGGAAGATCTGATTTTCATACCAAACGGCGGAAAATATTTTTCGAGTCTTTTTTAGATTTCAGCCAAACATTGGAAAATCGGGTCATTTTCCTGGAAAATGGCTTCTTGGAACGTTATATTTTTCACGAAATGAACAGAGCCTTAAGCTCCGTTCATTTGGCGGAAAATATTGTGTTTTTGGAAAATGTTTTCCCGGAAATCATTTTCCTAGAAAATGTTTTTCCGGAACACAATTTTCCGGTGTTCGGCTGAAATATGAAAAAGTTTCGAAAAATATTTTCCGGCGTTCGGCAACGATCGCCGCCGGCTGTGTTCTTTTTCCTTCTTTTACTCCGGCAGGTCGCCGGCCACGGCCACGGCCGACGTCCGGCGACCGGCCAGAGGCGAGCTCGAGCCTCGCCACAGGCCGGCGAGACCCAAGCTCGCCCGGCCAGCGAGCTCGGGCCTCGCAAGATCGGCCTCGCCCGAGGTCGAGCTCGCCCGAGGTCGCCCGATTCGGCGACCTGGGCGAGCTCGACCTCGCCCAGGTCGCCGGACGTCAGCGAACCTCGCCCGAGGTCACCGGCGAGGCTCTGGCGAGGCCGAGCTCGCCGGTCTCCGGCCGCTAACTGGCTGAGGTAGAAGAAGCAGAAGCAACAAAAAAAAAAAAAAGGGAAGTCCGAAGCAAAGCAGAGCTTAGGACTTCGGAAAATGACTTCGCTTCTCGTGCTAAGTCATTTTCCTCAAAACAATGAAGGATTTGGGGGTGGGGAAGGAAAATGCTTTTCCACGGAAAACATTTTCTGCCCCCGAACACCGGAAAACGCGGAAAATATTTTCTGGAAAAATATTTTTCCGGAAACGAGCACAGCCTTAAAGTGCCGTCATTTTCTTAAATAATGATTTGAGTTGTTTCAAATAAGGGCTCGATGTGGCTATGTAGTTTCAAAGAAGGGCCTAACTTTCCAGATGGTTAAGGGTATTTTTCGTCCTTTGCCCTTTTTTGAATTTTTTTCTCTTCTTTTTCCCTTTTTTTTTGGTTTTTTCTCGGCTGCTGGCGACTGCCCGGAGAGGGTTGGATGAGGGACAGCCTCGCCAAATCTGGGTGAGGGTCGCCTCGCCAGCGGGTGGCGAGACCCTTGCCTGTGGCTTTCGAGGGCGGCCTCACTCAAGGCGAGGGTCACCTATGGCCGGCAAGGGCGGCCTCGCCCAAAGCAAGGGTCGCCCATCGGCGAAGAAGAAAGAAAGAAAAACCGGAAAAAATGAATGAAAAAAATTGACGAAAATGCTCTTAACAGGTCAGAATATTTAACCAGCCTGTGACCAGAAAGGTCGGGTCCTAATTTGAAACTGTCATGGCCACTTTATGCTCTTATTTGATACAGGGTCCACTTCAAGTGCTCATTTGAAATTTTCTCTAATTTAAATATATATACCTGATTAACAACTGTTTCTGAAATAACAAAATTTACTTTATTTATAAATATTTTAACAATTCACTTTTCTTTAATACTCAGTCAACAAAATCCTTTTCTCCCGGCGCACTCCACTGCGTCCGTCGCTTTACTTTCGCGCTCTGTGCGCGGGGGCTCACTAACTCAGTAACAACTGTTGACTCGCATCTGACTTTTCCAGCATATGGTCTTCCTTTCAGATTTCTAGGTGGTCTTCCTTTCACATCGCGCACCTTTTCCGCCATTGCTTCGCGGACGAGCAACTTCGCTTCGGTGTGATGCCGGTCGATGGCGAAAGATGGCGGCGACGTCACTGGGCACGGACAAGAATTAGTCCAGGACAACGAGTTCATCTTCCCCGACTTCTCTTTCTATGAAAAGATGTCGACGACCGTAACAGCAATAGCATTGCGGCCGATCGCGGCAATAATGTGGTAGCAGCAGCTACTGTGTCATGCAATGCCGGAAAGGAGAGGCAGAGAGTAGAGAAATGAATGAAAAAAAGGAAAAATGTTCTGCGAGTACTTTTTTATTTGAACTTATTGTACTAGATTACCCTAATAGCTTTCTATAAAATAATAACTATAATTTCAAGAAATGAAGATCGATCCTCTATTAATGATTTATCCATAAAATCTAATGGTTTTTTATTTGAAATTTCTTTCCAATCTCAACTAAGCTTTAATCGTCGCTCAAAGTTCATAGCCCGTTTGACAAGTTATTAGATGTTACTCGATGGGAAAAAAACTTTTCTTCATTTCCGGGAAAAGTCTAAAAAATACCCCTCAATCATTTTCGCAAGTCGCCTCAATGTGCCCCCTGCGTAGGACACTATTGTCTCGACACAAAGCCTCTCTCTCCAGCTCATCGGCAGGCCAAACATATTGGCCGGACGATGAACACGTGACCAGCACTTGACCATTCGAGACAAATGCGTCCGGTGTAGGAGGCAAATCGAGAGGGGGCGATTTGCCAAAGCAATCGCCATTTGGAGATTTCCAGAAATTTCATTTCTCTTCTTGTTCTTTTTTTTCGGCCAGAGGAAATTTACTGACCTTTCTGGCCTAGCATAAGAGTCTTCACAAGATCAAAAATATTTCGCGGAAAAAAGTCACAAAAAAAAAAACATCAAACTATGCTCACGGTGATATATTTACCATAAACTTCTTTTTGTAACATAAAAAACCCCAAACTATACTCATTGTAATACATTTACCCTAAACTTTTTCAAAACCCCAAACTTGTACCTTTGTGATACATATACTCTCTGTTAAGGTCCCGTCAAATGATTTTAAGGCCAAAATAACATCGTTTTTATTTCAGTTAAGCCATGTGAGGCGCCATATCAACATCATTTGCTTTCCGGCATCTATGTAGGTAAATTTTTAACGGTGCTTATTAAATATGCCATACAGTCATAAATTTGGGATTTTTTTATATCACAAGAAAAATTGTACAGCAATTACAATGACCATAATTTGAAACTTTTGGTGGCTTTTGCCCGATTTTTTGTTGCAATCACGGCTACTCAGCATCATCTCGGCCATCCAAAAACAGACGGTGCTTGGGTCTCGAGATGGGACTCTGAACCAGCAAAGGCTTCGGAAACAGTTGAAAATGCGAGGAAAGAGGGAAGGGGAAGGGGAAGAGGACAGGGGGGCAGAGCAGCCGTCGCAGTAGAGGGTGGGGGCCTGCGCGCTGCTCAAGGCGGGGGGCCACGAGCAACGAGTCCCTCCTCGGTCAACTGCGAATTGCAGTGTTGTGTCCCGTCCCCACCGCTCATCATCCTCCGTGACTTGTGGCTTAAACTGTGCACGTGTCGTTGTTCGATGGATACGTCGTCCCTTTCGGGCTTTCAAACTGCATGTCCCGAATGGCGCAGGTGCCTTCGAACTTATTATCTCCTCCAGCCAAAAAAATTGACACGGTAGCAACCGCTTTTGATCTTTATTATTAGTCAATCGCCGCTTAACCCCCCATCCGAAGATGGAAATTTTCTCTCGTTGATTTTTGGAATCGGACGTGAAAGCAGGAGGGGCTTCTTTTCTATGTTGGGCGAGGCATGCGCTTTGAATTATCGGCGATTCGATATATGAAATCGATGATAAATTTATTACCTTAGCGTTTTTAACCGTCGTGTTACGTTAAAGACGAAGTTCTTATCAAAAGTAACGTGCTGCACCTGCATAGAATTAGTCATTGGAGCAACAGAAATTCGACGTATCGATTTGCAAATCTCTTGCGCATACCAATCTTCAGATTATTTTTTGTAGGCATACCGTTATTCAAGTAACATAGAAGCCCAACACCGTTATCACTATATGCTACACGTTCAATTAAAAACGGACCATTTCTCTAGTTAAGAAAGGGAATTACATCCTAGAGAAAAGACAACATCTTTATGCATTTGTAGCTCATGCGTTCCGATTTAACACTCGAAAACCTCTGACTAATTGCAAATATTTAACTCAAACACCTGGGCAACAGGGCATCCGGCTCTTTGCTTAGCGAACCTGTTTGCACAGTTCGAATCTCCCCCGCACGCAAGTCCTCGGACTTAACCCGGCGCCGGAGGCGGGGGGCTCCCCCGCCACCTTGTGGAGTTTACCCGCCCAACCGGCGCAAGAAAGAACGGCCCGCGGGCGTCCGCGGTCATCAAAAAAAGAGATTTGTTTAACTCGGCCCACCCTTAATCATGGGTATAAGTGTTGAACTCAGCCCAGCTTTCGCCAAACCCCTAGGAAAAGCGAAAACGGCCCAATGAAACTTGGACTATTCTTGCAATTTATCCTTTTTCTTTCTTCGGTAATAGGCTTTTGTTCTCTGTCTCGTGCAATATGAAGACATTTCTTCAGCATGGCTCCTCTTGTGTGGCTGGAAGTTCAAAATCGTCTCCAGCATGGCTACAAAATGTAACTGTTTGTCGCCTCTGGTTGTTTTGTGGCCTCGGGTACAAAAGGCGACCAAATAAAAAAAGAATTTCTCGCTATAGATGAGGGCGACGGAGCAAACGCAACAAAGGGTTCGCGACAAAGAAAGTTTGGTCACCTTAGCCCATTTCTGTTTTGCGTTGTTCGGGTCGGGGCCTTGTATGGTGAGGTGGCCTCACTGTAAGGTGAGGTCATCGACTTTGGGTAGCAAATCAAAAGCTTATGCCTAGGGAATCATCGACATCAAAAGTAAAGTAGACCTCATTTTTAGTAAATCTTCTTTTGAAAAATGAAATGTCTCATGCAGTAAAGTGTGGTTATCATTGGAACCATCATCAATTTGCAGGATACAACATTCAACAAGAGTACAGTGAGTCTATTTGTCTATACAAATTAGTCGTTCGTAGTAAAGATTACTTATTCACGGTAAAGCTTATATTGCTCGTAATAAACTTTATTTGTTCGGTTTACCCCTACTAATGGTAAATTTAATTTGTTCTTGGTAAATGCAAGTTGTTTTAGGTAAATAGAAGTTATTCTCAGTGAATATAAGTTGTTTGTGGCAACTGTTAATTTTTATAAAAGCATGTTCGTTTTAGTAAATGCAATTTGATCTTGGTAAATACTAGTTGTTTTTCATGAATATAAGTTGTTTATTTGTGGTAAAAGCTACTTGTTCTTGGTAAATTATATGATGAGATTTACCTCAGTGAATTTTTATCAGATAAGGTTACCGCTACTTACTTACGATGATATAAATTATCATCAATAAATGCAAGTCGTTCAAGGTTTACCGGAGTTGTTCTTCTTATCTACGTACAAGTTGTTCATGCTAACTGGAAGCTTTATAAAAGATGATTCGATGGTAAATGCAAACTTAGATCTTGATGCCAACTTATTTTTCATAAGCATTTCCCTTTTGAAGGGGTAATTCTTTTTCGTTTTTGTGTATTTCAGTAGATTGGCTCTCGATTTGGTCAACGAAGCGAATATAATTAATGCTATGAATTTAAAATTGTTACTACCGATAAGTTGTTTTACCTCCATTTTTTTTACAAGAAAAAGCCATATATACTATGTATTAAATGTTTTTATCAGGTTAAAAGATTGTTTGACATGAAATCGGGATGACTGGGAGTGCAACTCAATTAAGCGAACCTTGAAAAAGAGGTATTCGGTTCATCGGGGTAAAAGAACGGAGGTTCTCATGCGATTAATGGAGAGAAAATGACACAAATAGTCCACGAACTTTAGTTCAATGTGCAATATGATCCCTGAATTTTTAATTTGTTCAATATGGTCCATGAACTTTAATCCAATATGCAATATGGTCCATGAACTTTTGGTACATGTTCAATTTAGTCTCCATTGAACATTTTCATGGATCACATTGAACATTAATCTAAAGTTTAGAAACTACATTAAATAAATTAAAAATTTATGGATCATATTACATATTAAATTAAAGTTCAGGAACTGTTTATATCATTATTCCGTTAATGAACTTTATAACTAACAACCCCATAATTCAACGAATCTAATCCACTATCCAAAAATTGCTTCCCCCCAAAGTACCACGATTACAGCCCAAGGAAAAAAGGAGAATTATAGAGGGAAAGTTCCAGAAGAGGACCCCTTGTTAGACACGCCAACTTAGAAAAAGTCTCTTGCTTCGTGCCAGCCATGTGCAGAATTTCCATGGCATTACGGAGTCGTACCTCCTCTTCTTCTTCTTCTTCCTCCTCAGTCCATCGTCAAATTTACAGAAAAAAAATACTCAGTCAAACTCTCTCTCTCTCTCTCTCGCTCTCGCTCAAAGGATTCAATAAAACGCGTCGTCGTCCCTCCCCTCGCAAACCATTCAACCCCGTAAGAAGCTTCACGCACAGGGACCTTCACCCAAAAGTCTTCCATGGATGCTTCCTCCTCATCTTCTCCTCCTCCTCCTCCTCTTACGTCCCAATGTCATTCCTCCAATTAATTTAAATACCAACAAGAACGAACAGACAAGTCCGATCTTTCCACCGTGTTTACTCCGGATAAAAAAGGGACGAGCAGGCAGTCCCACGTATAAACGACGCAAACTCTCTACTCCCACCCCGCATCAGGAGAAAACCCAGAGCGACCATCGATCGGCTTCTCATGGATTTCTTCACCAAAACGGCGGCTGTCAAGCTCCGGAGCCACCTCGACAAGTACCTCGTCCCCGGCGCCGGCGAGGGCGAGCCCGTCCGGCAGAGCCGCAGCGGCGGGCGCTCGCGGGCCTCGACGTGGGCGGTCGAGCGGGTGGAGGGGAAGAGCCACGTCATCCGGCTCCGGAGCTGCCAGGGCGGGTACCTGGCCGCCACCGAGGACGCGTTCCTGCTGGGGATGACGGGGAACAAGGTGGCGGTCGCGTCGCCGACGGGGGGCGAGGAGCTCGACCAGTGGAACACGGAGTGGGAGCCGATCAGGGACGGGTTCCAGGTGAGGCTGAAGTCGTGGTGCGGGAAGTTCCTGAGGGCCAACGGCGGGACGCCGCCGTGGAGGAACAGCGTGACGCACGACGAGCCGTACACGGGGGGCACGAGGAAGTGGATACTGTGGGACGTGGAGGCGGTGGAGGCGGAGGCGGCGGCCGAGGGAGGGGCGTTGGAGAAGTATCTGGCGTCCATGTCGAGCATGTCGTCGGTGGCGGAGGACGCGCTGAGCGTCCTCGGGTCGGAGAGCGGAGGATCGCCCAGGAAGTCCGACGTATCGAACTTGTCCTCCCACCACGATCAGGTCAGCCTCGTTATAAGCACGAAAATAAGAGCATGAAATTCATTAGAACTCAATACTTACAAATCCCAAAGCACACGGCGATGCTGAATTAGTCATTCCAATTTGCTTTTACGAAGGAAAATTTGATCAATTCACATTACTCACTTTGCATAATATGGGAATTCTTGATAGTAAGCAGAGGCAATTCACGTACCATGTAAATATCACTAGCACTTATTACATGTAGATTGGACCATCGTTCTACTGATTATCTATTATGAAATTACATTTATACTATTAAGAAAGTGTTATTTATGCTTGAAATCCGGTGTGTCGATATGAAAAAACATGGATTGTTAACAAGATTATGATTGAGAAAGGATAAGTGTCTTCTAACGAAAGACCCCAATAAGTAAATATAAGAAAAAAAATGAATCAAAAGAAATTTCACGAAGCCCCTACTCATGCCCATCTAGTTCTTAGCGTAATATTTATGAAATTTCACCTTGCAAGCTAGCTAATTGGTCTCATTTTTATTATTTAATCAAATTCAAAACGCGAGAAGATAAGGGATGATGTTAGCTTGCTTTGCCCCGCATGCGCCGTCTCTCGCGACTCGAGCCTTCGGATCGAGAGCGTACGTTGGGCATGCGCTATCCGCAACTTCGTATGTCAACAGTCCAAGCGTCCTTAATCAGCTCAATTAACGATCTCTAAATTTCGTGATATTCTAAGTAGTAAGTACTAACTTAGACATCGTTTGTGCAAATCCAATGAAATAATAAAAAAACTTGCCCTCGCTCGAATTAACAAATCCTTCGTCATTTTGAAGGGGAGAGGACCCCGTCATGCTTGAGCTACGTTTTAAAAATTAAGATATACTCAAAGCTCTAAACTTTGCTTTTCCTCTGTTCGCGACTTCTACTAAACACATTGTCTTATTACGCAAATGTGAATCAGCATAGGTTTGCTCATATCCCGTTCGCATTCGCTTACTGGTTCTGCTTCTCTTCCTACACAGTTCTCGTACCACAGCTCCAACAAGCACCGCTCGGGAATGGACTTCTTCCACAGGGCCAAGGCGGTCCGCCTCCGGAGCCACCACCACAAATACCTCCTCGCCAACGAGGATGAGGAGTCCGTCTCGCAAGACCGGAAAGGATCCTCCAAGAACGCCAAGTGGACCGTCGAGCGTGTGAACTCCAACGACGATGAAAACGGCTGCATTTTCATCAGGCTCAAGGGCTGCTATGGCCGCTACCTCACCGCGTCCAACAAGCCCTTCTTGCTCGGCATCTCCGGCTGCAAGGTCCTGCAGACATTGCCCAGGCGGCTCGACTCGTCGGTCGAGTGGGAGCCGATCCAAGAGGGGAACCGGATCAAACTCCGGACGCGGTACGGGAATTTCCTGAGGGCTAATAAGGGTTTGCCGCCGTTGAGGGACTCGGTGACGCACGATATCCCCCAAAGGACCACGACGCAGGATTGGATACTCTGGGAAGTCGACATAATGGAGATCGAGGTTGATTCTCCGAGCGCTAGCGATCAGCTGGGGCAAGCGCCGCCTATTGACCGTGATGCGGATTTATCGATGGTGTCTGAGAACAGCTTCTCTTCTTCGGTTTCGGAGATTTCTGGGAACCTTTCCAGGCAAGAGGTGTGCGACTCTTATCCAAATTCGTAACTATCCCCAGTCGTTTTGTTTTCGAGATTATGAAACTAAACATGATATTACTTTTACAGTCGAGCGAATCATTAGTGGCTTCGCTGCCTCCGCCACCTGCGTCGCCGCCCCCAACTCGTGTGACAGAAGGCAGGATCATATACTACCACATAGCGGACGAGAACGGCGAAGTGGTGGGAGAGGACATGGAAGGCTATTGCCTCAATAATTTCAAGGGGAATAGCGTGGAGGAACTGAGTCGTAAGCTGTCGGAAGAGACCGGAATCGACAGCCTTGTCGTGTGTTCTCACAATCCATTGAATGGGAGGCTCTTCCCTCTTCGCTTACGCCTTCCTCCGAACATTATCATGCGCGTTGTCGTAGTCCCCTCGTTCTCATCAGGTAAGACTCAGAGTGCTTTCTACTTCATCATCATTTTTGCCATAAAAGGATTGTCTTCGGTTCTCTATTATGTTTGAGCTGATGAATCCAAAGCAGTTGCACACATTTGTGAAATTTAATCTTCCATTAGCTGCAGAAAGTCCCCAGATAGAATTAAAAATGATTGGACAAGTTTCTGGTAGAGAGTTGGTGCGGGTAGTTAATTGAACAGTAGATTCGTTCCATTTTACAGTGCACTGATCTCATTATCAAGTGAAAACAGTCGTTGATGAGGCCATGGCTTGTGCACTAGTTCTAAGTTTTAGGTAAACGTTGACTTCACAGCGACACCACTTGCACGTACTTTTTGGTAAACTGCAACTAATTTGGACCAACTTTTGAATTTCCAGCTCTACTCTGCTTTGTTTAGGTTGTCTCGTCTTGTCATCTGTGCTCAATGCTCTGTAGCTTCTCCTTCTAAGCTAATATCATTTGTTTACAAGTCTTATAAGCAAATATCAAGATTACCTCACCCCATGCCTTTCTTTTGGTGTTTTCAGCGGCATCAGACCTCGCAAATCAAGGAATCCTATAGCATGCATCGAGGTGGGCATCTCAGTTTTGATAGGCACAAACTCGGTTAAGCATTGTATATTCTGATCCCAGCCCTAGGCTCCTGGTTATCCTCATGTTGATATAGAGCACCTGGGGGTGACCTGCTATTCATTCGTTTCATGCTCCGCCGGTGTTTTTCAAGTTTTCTGGAGCTCGATTTAGGTATTTAATTTATTTTTGGCTCTGCGATTGATCGTCCGCAAGTGGGAGATGTATAATCATACGGGCTCATGGTCATTGCTTCTTCCCCTATCTCCCTATTTGTTTGTATGTGAATATGATATAGTTCTTCTGTATATTCTTCTATACTAGTCAAGCTCAAGCAGATTGACTTGTGCATTTCCTCTTAATGAAAATACCCTTATAAAGCAAGCAGGCATCCTGGAATGCAAATATTTATATCGAAGCATAAAGTTTACCAATTCAAAGCTTCAGAAGCACCATAATGTTTTCTCCATTATCTTGCTAGCTGCTTATTAAGAAATTTAAGGGCGATTCTGAACTGGAGAAAGGGCCTTAACTAGATTTTCACGCATGGAGATTGAGGGCACTACAGAGACATAGGGCTCCGCATTACAAGAACAGCAATATGTCTGTCCCTAAACAATATCATGGACACTGAAGTCACAGAGAAACAATATCAGTGCCTTTGTGCTAGAGAGTATGTGTATCCTCAGGAATTCACAATATCAAGGAGAATGCATATAACACAGACTCTAGTATAAAAATGCATGCTATAACAAAATTCACATACCCGAACTGGAGAATCAAATAGTGAAATATAGTATGCACCACAAAAGACTTGAGTGATGCTGCACCTGCATAGAGGCTGGGATGTAGATTAAGATCTGGTGGTCATAATATAGATGGGACTCCTGCCATGCAACAAACCCGAAAGCTTATTTACAGTTCCTATCCAGTTGGACTCAAGATGAATTGCAACAAATGGACCCACTCTCTCAAGGTAGTCTTTGGTTAGGAACAATTGGTTTCCACCCTCTTTCACTGCAATACTGGAGGTCCAGCACCAGATTATCAGTTGAGAGGAACATGTTGCCAGATATATATGTGCAAATTTTCTTGTTTCAGAATATTCCCAGCAATTACACTTTTCAATTGAGAAAAGTTCAACGAAACAATTTTGAAACACAATTGAAGCGTGGACCATCACCAATAGTCCCTGCAAGAACAGAGGCCATCCTTGAAGTGATGAAATCGAGCACGATCTCTCACAATGATCTCCACATTAAAGATCCTGGAGATTAATTTGGTGACCTTGTGACAGTCATTGCACACTCGGAGATTTTTAATTATGCGAATAGGAGTGCCCTGTTTCCTGTTTAATAATCCAAATGCAATGGCAAGTCTCTCGCTATGCAACCTGAGAGACTGCTCCTTCTCCTCACTATGCTCATCATCGATCATAGTCGCTTGTGAGACATCTGGTACATAGCCAGATGACTCTAATTTCTCTTCTATTTCCTTCAAGGCCCGGTATATATCTTCAGTTTGAGGATGCGTTGTGTCCCCAGCAAAAAACTCATGGGAGATACCATCTATTTCCACTAAACTGCACCCTGGCTCTTTTGTTACACCTCTATCAGTCATTAATTTTCTAATCAGCGCAACATCGTCCCACCTGCTAGCCGACGCATAAACCCTAGATAAAAGCACATAAACACCACTACAAGAATCCCCTCCGGATGCGAGGATCTGCATAGCCACTTCTTCGCTCAGCTCAATTCCTACATTTTTCTTACAACACGCATCCAGAATACTCCTCCATATTACAGCGTCCGGCTTAAATGGCATACTAGATACAAGATCTAGCGCTTCATCAATAAGCCCAGCACGAGCAAGAAGATCGACCAAGCATCCATAGTGCTCCAATTGTGGTTCAATACTATACTCATTTATCATCTTATCAAAGTAGCTACGGCCTTCATCAACCATACCTTTGTGATTACAAGCACTCAGAACACCAACAAACGTTACAGAATTCGGCATTAAACCTTCTTCCATAACCATCTGGACAAAGTAATCCAACGCTGCTTCGGCCTGTCCATGCATAGCAAATCCTAAAATCATGGAATTCCAAGAATTCACGTTGTGCTTTTCCATCCTCTGAAAAATCTGCTCGGCCATCCCCAATGAGCCGCACCTGCAATACATGTCCACCAATGAAGATTGGACAAGAACATCATCAACCACGTCCTCATCACACTTCCTCAAAATGTAAGCATGAGCCCACATCCCTAAAGACAGAGAACCCAGACCAGCGCAAGCACTCAACACGCTCTGCATGGTGTACCCATCCGGCTCAAACAACATCTGCATCTCATGGAACGATTCCATCGCAGCATTGAACTCACCAAACCGAACCAAGGCATCGATGACGGCATTCCACGAAACCGCACTCCTCTCAGGCATCTTCTCGAACACCTTCTTCGCATCCTCCAAGACGCCGCAGGAGGCATAAAAATGGACCAAGCTGTTGTTAACATAAACATCCGGCCCCAACCCATGCTTCCAAGCCTGGGCGTGCACTTGTTTCCCTTCGGACAGAGCGAACAGATACGCGCACGCCTTGAGAGCGAACGGGAACGTGTACTGATCCGGAGAAACACTCCCATCTTCCAGCATCCCGCGGAGCAGCGAGATGGCCTCCTCCTTGCGGTCGCCGCTCTGCGCGCAGGCCCTTATGAGAGCGTTCCACATGAACGCGTTCGGGCTCTCGACATGCCGGAACACCCGGCGAGCGTAGTCGATGCTCAACGAGGACGAGACGTAGACGATTCTGCTGTGGAGGAAGTGGGCCTGCGGGTCGTGGGCCGTTGCCGCGGTGCGCAGAGCTTGAGCGTGGATTTGCTTGAGGTGGGCGATGTCGGAGCAGTCGTTCACCAGCTGAAGAAGACGGCCGTGATGGTGGTAAGGGTCGGCGAGATTGGGCTTGGTCGGGACGGAGAGAGAGTGCGGAGGGGGCTGTGGCGAGGTTGTGAGAGCCATCATCCCACTCCCGACGCGAGGTTGTCGTTACTTGTTAGCACGTACTAACACGCTTTATGCTAGCACGAACTCGGGTACGGGCGGGGTGTGTTGCATGGGGCCGCACCGATTCTGTAATCGTGAAATTTGGATATATTTCGATGAACCGTACATGACTAATATTGCAATATCGATTACGATTATTCAGGGTTGCAATGCCGAGAGATAAATAGAATCAAGGGTATGTATCTCTAACGCTATTCGTGTGCCTAGAGTACATTACCCTAAGTGACATGAGAACTCCGGTCCCTTTTTTGTGTTTCCAACGATATCTCGTTCGTCTGCAAATAAGGATAGTTTCTATTTATATACTATCGTAGTATATTTTGACTCGTCAAACTTCCACTAATCAAATTAGACATGTTTATCGACCGAAAATTGTATGGTTTAGTTATATTCGGTAAACGCGTCATAAATTGGTTTAGAATGCTACAGCCCAAAATTATATGGATGTTAAATTGGTTCACAACTTATTTAGATCCTACCCATGTCTATGACTCTCGCCTTCACTCGATCTCGCTCTCATCTTAGGATGGGTATGAGTTTTCATAAATTGGATTAAATATAAAAGTGTTTTAGTAATATAGGTCATGAGTTGAGTACGGGTCATTAGATTTTTATTGCATGAAAATTGATCAAAAATGGTTAAATGGGTTAATTTGGATCAGACCATATTCGATCCAACCCAATCCACTCGTTTGATAGGTTTTTTAACTTGTTAGATAAAAACGCCAAGTATGAGAGGTATTTGGGCAATTCACCAAAAAAAAAAAAGGCCTGAAAAAGCTTGTTCTTAAGCATAGAAAAAGTGGTTGCTGGTGCCGGTTGTCCACTTCCTATCCTTTTACTTGTTAAGGGAAAAAAAAGGAAAATTAGCTTTTCCTCAGTGGTGGGGCTTGGGTATGCAATTTTTGCTAATTGAGCGTGACCAAAGTCCAATGCTAGCGCTAGGGGTGGGTGGGCTGGCCGAAACATATGGCTCCTGTCTAAGCCCCGATTCAAGAAGCCTAACAATGCTAAGCATGTGGCTTTGTTGATAAAGGGGTTAAGAGCTAGAGTGGGAGAGTACCAGGTCTAGGGTTCAATCCTCTTGAACACCGCACACGCGCACATATATACATGTAGAAGAGAAGAGGAAGATCTAATAAATAAATAAGCCCAACAATAAGATCTAGTATCGCAATCACATTTGTCCCCATTCAAACGAGGCCTCTTCAAGAAAGACAAGTTACTACGATCTAAAAATCTATTAAGACATCATGCTCCGGTGATATGAGACTCCAAAGGTCTTGCTATCTCAGCTTAACTAAACCTGATTCGTTTAAGCTTGTAATTGCTTACTGTATTCAATGATTAAACATGTCTTGATTCTAAGTAAAAATTTTGTTTCGAACGGAAATATGTTTCTTTTTTGCAATCATGAGTTCGTTGATTGTTGAAGATCTAATGTTTTGTTAAATTTAAGTTGTTAGAAAGTTGTTCATTTGTTCTTTTGTCTAATAAGTGATTTTGATGAAAGTCAAAATCTAGCTAGTTATAGTTTCTTCGCATTCAATCTTATGCACTAGAAGTTTTAGCAAAAAGAAAAAAATCTTATTCACTAGATTTTTTTTTTTTTGGAAGCATTGTTCAGGGGCAATATTAATAACTTCTTTCTTATTAAACAATAAGAAAAGTGTAGTCTTGATCTGTCTTTTTTTCCTAATTTTTTTCAGTCTTCATGGTTTTAAAATTGGAAGGAACAAAAGAAATAGGATCCCGAATATTAGGCTGCGAATGATAACCATTTTATTTCTCTATTTCTGGAACAGGAATAGGTTTGGAATAGAAATTCGTTTGGTAACGCAATTTCATTTTCTATTTCTGGAACGAATTTTTGAAACAGAAATAGGTTTGGAACAGAAATCAGAAGTAAAAATTTTGTGCTTTTCTATTTCTGGAATAGAAATGAGAAGTTAAAATTCTTCTCATCGTTCGCCCTCGCTACTAGCCGATCGCCCACTTGCCGCCCATCGCCGCCCACTTGTCGGCGGCCGCCGGTCGCCATCACCCGCTGCCGCCCACCGTCGCCACCCGCCTTCGGCCACCGCCCACCTCCCATTGCCGCCCGTCGTGGGCTGCCGCCCGCTGTCTACTTGTCACCGTTTCCCACCGCCGGCCGCCCTCCTCCCTGCCCCACCCGCCTCCCATCGCCGGTCACCGTCTCTCGTCGTCGGCCTCCCTCCTCCCGCCGCCACCCGGTGCCCTCCTCTCGCCGTCGCCCGGTGCCCACCTCCCACCGCTGGCTGCTGGCTGCCATCCATCGGCCACTGCTTCCGCCTCCGACCGCCCTTCTCCCGCCCCTGCCCGCCTCCCACTGCTAGCCACCGTCTCCCACTGCTGCCCACCTTCGGTCGTCGCCCATCTCCCATCGCCAGCCGCCGGCCGCCGTGGGCGGCCGCCCACCGTCCACCAGCCATCGCTCCCACCTCCGGTCGCCCTCCTCCCGCCGTCCACTAGTCGGCCACTCGAGAGGAAGAAATTTTGTGCTATTATCAAACAAATTTCTGTTTCTGGAACGGAAATTTTGTATCGTTATCAAACGTGTTTTTTTTGCTGAGAAACTCCTCTAGGAACAGAAATAGAAAAATCAAATTTTGACTAGAAATTGATTTCTAAAACAGAATGGTTGTCATTCGCAGCCTTATTTTCTGCTATTTTAGAGGGAAAAGTAAATTGTTCTCTTCAATCTAAATACAAAAGGAATAAAATAAAAAAGTTTTGAATTAACCGAGATAGGAAAGTAGCAACCCATAAATCATTGAATTTCCTTGAGGAGGTGATATTAAATATCAATATATGCTTAACAAAGTCGAAGGCGAATTCGATTATTTTCTTGACCAGAAAAAAAATTAGCTCAGTTTAATTAGAAATGGTATGGTTTAGCTAAAAAAAGGGACGTGGGAAATAGTGAAAAAACTCGAACTATTTCGCATTTTGTCGTACGGCTAAATTTGGAAAGGGAAAGGCCGATTTTCCTCTCTCCTCCCGAGGATTTTCTTCTCTCCCTCTCATCTTCACATAACTTGCTTCTTCAACCTCCATGAAAGTTCAACCAAAAAAAAAAAAATCTCCATGAAAGGGAGAGTTTGAGCTAGATCTCTTTCTTCCTTCTCTGCTTCCTTTTTTTCTTTGGTTGATTTGGTTATTTGTTCTCTTTTTCTTGCTTTCCTCCCGTTTTACGGAACTTTTCTCTAGATCTGAAAGCCTATCTCGATCTAGTCTAGATTCTTGGAATTTTGCACGTATGATCTCGGGTTTCGCTTCCAATTTCGTTGATGGACAAATTCAATACTAAAGAAGATCGGAGCTTTGTAAAGATTTCGCTTTCACATATGTTAGATTAGTGGAAATTGATCTAACGTTACTTTGAAAAAGAAAATTGGAAAGGGCAAGTGAGACGCATATGCAAGCCCATTATTCTCCATCGAGTAACTCCATCATTCCCCCTGTTCTATACGCTCTCTTGAAGATTCATTCAGTCAATCAATTTCTCAGCTTGAAACCATCCAAGCAGATTCGACAGATCAAGTCGCACCGCGAGATTCGATCTCATTCAAGGCTCGTTTTCCAAAGCTGCAAGCCAAGACAAAAGGATGCCTGATGCCATCATAAACTATGCACGGGGTTCAGCTTCATCTGCTGGGGGCTTCAGCTCGTAGTTTAATTTTTGCTTATGGCGTTCTTAATGGACAATTACATTTGTCATGCCCCTAGAGGTGGTTTATTCTGTGCATCCACGTGATGCTTTTGCTTTGCTAAATAACCATGCTTTTCTTTAATATTCTCCGTGTTAATTAGCCCCCTAGAAATAAGCTTCCCCTATTTACGAAAATATTCTTATGAAACATCTTCCGAGCGCGCACTGCTGGTTTGAGCCCTAGCTCACCGGCCGCGCAGACACCTCGATTATCAAAAAAAAAAAAAAAACATCTCCCGCGCTTACATCTTCCGAGCGCGTTGTAATCACATTAAAAAAATTTCTTGAAAAGTGAATAACATAGTTCTATATGTGCGTGTACACGCAATAAAGAGGGTCCAAAAAGTAATAAATAATTGGTAATTTCGATTATTGATACCAAACATTTTTTTTTACCTTTAACCCGATATAAAATAATATGATATAGGAAATTCCGCTTTGGAATGTGATGTTATTTGATATTCAAAATATTGTATTTCATAACTTGCATAACTTTCCAGATATGCCTTCGCATTACTTCTTTGATTAGGTTCCACTAGATGACCCTCCATTGATTGGTCTAATGCCTTCTTCTGTATTTATCATTCCGAAGTATAAAAACATTTGATCTATTCAATATGCTTTTAATGTTTTAATAAGTTTGTTAAATACGACTGACCGAATTGTTCATCTTTTGCTATATCAATAGAAATCCACAATTTTCGAAAGATTAAGCAAAACCATTTCATTACAAATGCATGAATCGTTAAACAATGGAAATAAATCATTAATAAAAGTCTACAGCTCAAAGAAATTGCATAAATATTTACGAAAAGAAAATATTTTCAAAATTGGAAATCTTTTTAAGAAGGTTGTTATAGGAAATAAACCTATCAGCACTTTAGCATCGAAAATTTAAACAAAATTATTAATTTACGCGCTCGTTCATGCACACAGCATTTCTAAAATAACCAATCTAGAATATTCGGGGGCAAAAAGAAAATTATTGAAGTCGCTTAAAAATACGAAACCCGCTTTGTTTTATATAATAATATCAATACGATTGTGTATTTAGTGGTGGTAATACATGGTTATTTTAAGTCCATGCGAACCCCGGCCATGCAAAAAACTAGACATAATTAATGCAGTCATTAAGCGGACAATATGCTAGACATAATTAATGCGAAGCCTAAGATGTGATTTACTATTCATTTCCGACTTAATCATGCGACAAATCTCGTGTTCCCAAAGCATCCGCGGCTTAAGAATGATTGCGACGCACTCCGCCCAAAATTTGCACGGAAACTTCCACGTCCGGCGCTGAAATCAACGAAATTCCCCGGCTCGTTTCCTGAAATAATAGAAATTAAATAATATAATATTCTTTATTAACAAGTGGCACGACGATATTAATGAGCCCAATCATGTAATTGAACTAATTTATTTGTTTTTTTAAAAAAGGCGATAACACATATCGTGGATACGAAAGCGACTCGTCAGGTAAATCGCTATATTTATATATAATCACCTTAATTAATTAACATTCGCCCACGAGCACTTTCAGAGAAATTTCATAATCGAACCAAAATAAAAAAAGAAAAAGTTAATATCACGAAAAACTTCAAATTAATGTGACAACTAAAAATTCTAAACCAGTATATTTGTGACAAATTTATCCTACGTTAATTTCCGTTAAATTAGATTAATATAACAAAAAATCACAAACTGGTAAACTCCAAATCTGTACACTCATAAACTGTCATGTGTCATTTAACTTAGCAATTTGACGGGAAAATTTAACGAAAACTAATGGAAGGTAAATTTGTGACAGGTGTACCAGTTTGAGATTTTTTATGGTCAAAAAATTAGTTTGGGATAAATTTATCACATATGTATCAATTTAATATTTTTCGTAATATTAACCTAATAAAAAATATAAAAAAAAAACCCTGTAAACGACGGCGGAGTCGGCCGAGGAACGTGGGCAAAACGACATCGTTATCTACTAGGATGAAAACACAAAGGAGCTGGAGATCGTGGGCCCGGGATACATTCTTGGATCTGAATTTAATTTAGTTTAATAAAATCGGTTGCTTTGTTTAATGAGCGAGTCCAGCTCATACTACTTGTCCGCACGTTCTCTAATTTCTCTTTTATTTTTTTTAAATTCCTGAAATTGCGTGCTTTCAGTTTTAACAGTCTGTCACCGTATAACTAACGCCCACTTACTTTTCCCCACTTTTCTATTCCCTTTGTGTTATTTTATTTTTCATTTTAATTTCTTGACTCTCGTGTGCGCTTGTTATTTGCGCTGTTTAAAAATACCAGAAAAGAAAACAAAAAGGACTTTGCTGATTGATGGATTATGCCCCTTGCATCTATAATTGAAAATCTTTTGTCCGATTGGATTATTCCCGAAATATAAATGGTGTTTTTTTTTTTTTTTAAGAAAAGCGATGACATTTTAAGATATTGAATGTCTCGTGATTGATAAGATATGTAGATGACACTATATTTTTAGGAGCTTTCGAAAATTTCTATAGCTTTGTTTTCATGTTTTTGCATTCTGTACGAGCGAGTCAAGTAATAAGCAAAGATGGAGCCGTTGCCCTTTTTTACAAGAATATATAATAATTAGCACGACTCACCATTGTACATTCGCATGTGTATATATATATCAGGAAAAGGATCCAAAGCATAGATATGGTAATATTTCAACAAAAGGACATTCAATAAAAAAAAATTCAATAAAAACTCAACGCGAAAGAAAATAATTCAATAAAAAAAATTCGATAATAATTCGATAAAAACTCGACAATAAAAAACGCGTGAATTGCAATACTCATGAAAAGAAAAATAAAAGGAAAGAGGAAAGTAAAAACGAAAGAGTAAATAAAAAAAACTAACAGTGACCCGGGAGACTTCTCTCCCCGTGGGAGTGGGCTGTTACGGAAACATTATCTCCGAATGGGAAAGGGAATCCTGAGGCGCGTATCAAACGCAAAGATTTGCTGCAGCTTAACCGCGTTTTTGGCTCCCACTTCCCCAGCTGAGTTGACTCCCGGCCGACTCGCCGTTTGTCCTTCCCCTCACTCCCCCTCCCCCCTCCCCCAACAACTCGCTCACTGACTCACTCCCAACGACCCGCCCAAAAATCGCCGCCGCCGCCCGCTCGCTCGCTCGCTCGCTCGCCCCGATTTAAAACCTCGCGCCGTCTTGTTGAGATAATCCCCGAAACCGCGTTCCCCCTCTTCCGCCGCCGGTGCCCCGCGACCATGGGCGTCGATTACTACAACGTCCTCGGTGTGAACCGGAGCGCGACCGACGAGGACCTCCGGAAGGCGTACAAGCGGCTCGCCATGAAGTGGCACCCGGACAAGAACCCGATCGACCACAAGGAGGCGGAGGCCAAGTTCAAGCTCGTCTCGGAGGCCTACGACGTGCTGAGCGATCCGCAGAAGCGGCAGATCTACGACCTCTACGGGGAGGAGGCGCTCAAGTCGGCCGACTTCCAGCCCCCCTCCCCGGCCTCCGCCGGCGGGAGGGCGCGCGCCAACTCGTCGTTCCGGTTCGATCCGCGCGACGCCGACGATATATACGACGATTTCTTCGGCGGATCGCCCGGAGGGCGGCGCGGCGGGGGGAGCAGGGCCAGGGTCTTCGGGGAGAACGTGGAGAGGAACGGGAACAGGGAGGCGAGGCGGGATCTGCCGGAGAAGAAGAAGCCTCCGCCCGTGGAGAGCAAGCTGGTTTGCAGCTTGGAGGAGCTTTACAAGGGCGGAAGGAGGAAGATGAGGATTTCGCGGGTTGTCCATGACGAATTTGGGTAAGTCTTGTTAATTAGTTGCCATCTTGTTCATGATGATTGTTCGTCTCTTTTGGCATTGTTTCTCATGACGGTATGATTTGCTATCTGCTAGCTTGGTAGATGTTTCAATATGCAATTCTTGTTTGCTTTTCTTACTGTTGAATTGAGAGAAAGGGTGGAGACGTTTTTCTGATTTACGATAGTCCGCATTGACTTAGGTAATTGCCTAATTGGATCTAACTGCCGAAGCCAGGGGTTGTCTTAAAAGAAAATAGCTTTACCTTTCTGTGTGAATTTTTTGAATGATATAGGTGAGCTGACAGTGGGGTAAACTTTGAAAAGTTTCATCTCCGGTCTGCTTCTTTGAAGATATGCAGTCAGTCGCTCGCAGATATTGAACATGGTCACTGCGACTTTCCCTTGGTTTATTTGTTGTTGGGTTGCTTATCCTTCAGAGTTTCTAGCTCTCGGATGTCAGGACGATGACTTTTAGTGGGGACTGAACACATCCGATGAAGAGAGCGAACGAGTGAGGCCTGTGAATTATTTTGCAATCGAGTATATCATGTGGAGCTAATAATTCTCTGCAGAATGTGAATTTCATAGTCAGATTGAAATTTGCAGCCATTGCTAAACTTCATAGCAATTACTTTTGAATTGTTGTCTCCTCAATTCATTTACTGTCCAGTTATTGGTCAAGTCTCCAGTGTAGCTGTGTTAATCAGAGTCGTGGATGGTCGCGTCAATTGAGCTGTCTGATTACCTTTGTAGATAGTTTCACGACATTTAGTAATTGGATGGTCGTGTCAATTGAGCTGTCTAATTACCTTTGTAGATAGTTTCACGACATTTAGTAATTGGATGATCGTGTCGATTGAGCTGTCTGATTACCTTTGTAGATAGTTTCATGACATTTAGTAATTTGTTGCATACAGATTGCTCTTATCTGTCACTGCTGCTTAAATTTTCTATTTTTGTCAATTTGAAGAAATCTTTGTTCTGTGTGGTTGGTGAAAATTTTCTCTGGCTTTCTATTTTTGTTGAATCGAGCTGAACTGTCCTTCTAGACACATATACCAACATTCCAACTACAAGACTTGATAGTGAGGGAAACTAGAGTAACAGGGTTTCGTTTTCACATGGTCCACTTGATTGCACAATTTTAAATATTGTTCCTGCTAAATTTGGTTTCTCCTTTTTACATCTACAGTACATGGGGACCAGATCACATCACTTTTTGTTGATACTTGCATTTTCCAGTTCCATTCTATTTGTGTCCAGAGTAGGTTAATGGCTTAGAAAGCCCACTGTCTAGACCCGCTTGACCCTTAAAAAAAAAAACAATCCATGAGATGGTGCAGTTCAGTTTGTCAACTCAACACATACATAAGTCTGCTTTTACATTCTGATTATTCTGAGTTGATGCACATGCCGAAGTAGGGACAATTGTGTAATTTTAGATATTGGTTCCGTATCTAAATGAACACGTGGGACGTTAATTGAGTATGCTCTGACTTTACGTGGATCTTTCTTAGTTTAGTTTCATATACTGTTTGATTATAACATAACCTATGTACTTTCAGAATTTCAGAATCGTGGGAAGTATATACTTCAGGTTCTCTCCCCTGAGTTATTTTCTTTGGGCAGAAATCAGACAATATACAGAACTTTGTCTTAGGATCGCCCTCTGAATCTTTACTGTGTGTGGAAACTCTGGGATATGCTCTCTTTTTTTCCTGACATCCGAGACATTCTTATGCAGAAATCCGAAATCAGTTGAAGAAACCTTGAAGATAGATATCAAACCCGGGTGGAAAAAAGGAACAAAGATTACTTTTCCTGAGAAAGGCAACCATGAACCCGGTACCATACCGCCTGATCTAATATTCGTCATAGAGGAGAAGCCGCATGATGTTTTTAAGAGGGATGGCAGTGATTTGGTGGTCACCCAGAAAGTGACATTACTGGAAGCTCTTACTGGGAAGACTCTCAATTTAATGACCTTGGATGGGAGAAATCTCATCATCCCGGTAATGGACATAATTAGACCCGGATACGAGGTCTCGATCCCGAATGAGGGAATGCCTGTTTCGAAGGAACCTAGCAAGAAGGGAAATTTGAAAATCCAGTTTGACATTGCGTTCCCACTGAGTCTCTCTGCAGAACAGAAATCCGACTTGACGAGGGTATTAGGAACTCAAAGCTAGTTATGTTTTCCAGCTATGGCAGTGAGACTTCATTAACGCTGATTGATACAGTAAGTTCAGTTGACTGTAAATATGTCATGTCGAGCAGATGCTGTGCATAGTAGGGGTTTTGAAGGTTGCCGACAGTGTTGGTATTGTTTTAAGGCGTAACAGGATAATGAAATCTTGGCTATTTTCCTGGCGTCTTTGAGATGCATGGATTAAATTCTGTACAATACTAATAATAGATTATTATTTGGAAGCCCTTTTGTTCTGTGTCTTTGGAAATTAACTCGTTCTGTCATTTCTTTTCAATGCGCATTCGACCACAGTTCGGTCTGTGCTGCTCAGGTTGGGTAATTTCCATCCACGTGGTTGTTAGTTTTATTGATTTCGACATGCCTATTTATTGTGGTACCAAGAGTTAAATGGTCTTTGGGCGATCCATTTTTGGTCGCCTATCACTTAACAAGACGATATTAGATACACACCAACATGGCTGGATTTGCACCAACATAGCAATTGCCTAACAAGTTTTACGATACTGACGGACTTTTGAGCGGTAGGCTGTTCGACCAATTGAATTTATTTGCTCTGACCTATGCGTGGACAGAAAATTAAATCAAACGCCCGTAGTCCCAGAGAGAAAAAGAGAGCAGATAATTGCACGGTATAGGCAGCAAAAAACAAGGAAAGACGAAGAAGCGAATGTGGCCTCGGCCCCGACAGTCCAAATTCCAAACTCCTCATTTTTGGGTCCTGTGTTGGGCCCCGAAGGCTTTGTCACGGGCTCTGTGATTGCAATGTACGTCAACTTGATGGGCCTGTTCAACAATGGCGTCCTTCTTTCTTCTCGGCCATAAACATCGATTCTATTGCTAACTGCGAACGATCCAGCTCGAATTGTATGGTTACCTTTGCTGCATATTGTTGGATTGGTCCTTGAGCCCTAACTTTTAAGACATGTGATTTGTGACCATCAACCGGCAGAAGAATGTGCTGCGAAATCATACGAAAAGTATAAATTCGTCCATACAAAGACGCTCTTGCGTTTCTACTCCGTCGAAAGTCCAAGGAAGGATTGGATGAACTTGAAAACCTTTTGTTTTTTTTACTGTCAATCTCTCTCGTCGTCATCTTCCTGAGGAAAAATTATACGAAGCGCACACTCTTTATCACGTGGACTACGAACAGTGAAATGATCGAGAAATAGACAGCCGCTTTCATCAAGCATATCATTAGTAATGGAAATCCAAAAGCGTTCACTAACACTAAAAAGATATGAGGACTCGGTCAAACAGCTCAGACACTGAAAGATCCAAAACCATCATTCTATCAGAAAAGATTCTTCATAAGCTTAAATGTGTTTATGTCTGAGGCGGGTAAAACTCGATGAACCAAGGCGTCTCTCCCACGTTTTCGACACATACAAATGAGCACAACAGCGACGGGTTGTTCTCATACGTGCTTATTATCGAGCTTTCAATGTCACCGTGGACCATGTCTTCCCGCATCGTACAAAGGAGAATCCTTCGTGATCAGAGAAACGATTTCCTGTGCGATTTCAACGGTGATGGGTGGCATTTGAAGTAGTGGAGGAGGAGGAGGAGGTGGGGGGGATCGAGGACGTGGGCGGGTCATGTGTGTTTGGCTTGTTACGGAAAGGTGGGTGGAATGGTTTCAAGAAAGATCGTGCAGAAAGTGAACCTTGAATGTGAAGGACACATGATGTTCAACGGACGACACATCGCGATGCCACTCATAAAGAGTGTAAAGCCAAGGATGGATCGGTCACTCGATGGGAACGGCCGGTGGAAACTGGAAAGTGGAGGATCGGTGATGTTGATCGCGAATGGCAAGCAAAATTGGAGTTCCCCTTGATTTTCTTTTCCCCTTTTTTCGTTCCTTGTATGATTTTGATTTTGATTGTGATATGAACAAAAGTGGTCCACTTTCCCCGATGGTACCAAGCCTCTTGCGGGAGTTTCGGTTTGCTAGAATTCGATAATTAGAGATTTTATCTGAATATAGTTCCTTTCATGAAAGCATATCTCAATAAGCATCCTGATTCTCCTTAATTTGACATTGTAACTTTCTCTTGATCTATGGCATCTCATCGTGATTTCGTGTCGTAAACCCCATTGAATTTGGAAAAATATTTGATGATTTGGTTTAAATTCTTTACTTAGAATCTATCTGACAGTGTAAGTTATTCAGTTGGAGCGTGTGATGTATTTCCCGTGTCCTCTTCAAGTTAACACTTTTTTCACCGGTAAGCGGGATGGAGGACGGAAATGATTGAAGTAGTCCAAGAAGCACGATTCTCACACGACATAAAAAGGATTATATCGTCAAACTTAGTCTATTAATAAGAGGACGTGATGTGTTAGAGTCCCGCAAATAAAACATTAACAAGCGACATTCGACACTTAAAATTTCTCCAATTGCTTCATCCTTCATGCTTCCATTGTTTCGGTATCATTTGGGAGATGACTATACGAGCTTAAGACGGCTGTGCAAAAGCATCAACTTCATAGTAGGACCACATGATCTCAGCATGTGCTCACTCTTCAGTAAGCAATATGGGACCAGGTCAACTCGACTAGGTGCATCACTGACCTTTATTGTCACCACACAATCAAACTGGTCCTCTCTAGTGGAAGTGGACACTCTGTTTGGAACTCAGAAACAATCGCATGAGCGGGGTCAGATTCGATCAAGAATCTTTTACAATTCCATACAACGTCTCTTACCAGCTTAGATAGATAGATCGCCCATGAATTAATCATAGTCCAAATGATTCGACCACCGCGTGAAAGATTCTCCTTCTAAATGGCAGCGTGTCCCCGTCAAGTTTGTTTCTTTGATGGGTCGAGACATTGACATCATTTTTCGTACGCACCATAATGTGCTAAAGACAATAAAGAATTTGGGCTTCATGTGCTCCGAATCCTAACATGGTAAGGACCACAAGAGAAAGAGAATGAGGTCCATCGCATCCATTATTGGAGGCTAAAGCGCTCCGTGGACCACAGGATATCTAGTTGTTTGATCACTGTGACCTACTCGGCACCTTGTGATCGAACTATGACTACGTGCTTGGGTCCACTTATTCCTAACGCGAACGAGGCTTTGCTATCTTACCTGACCGGATTGTTACATGGAGCTTCGAGTTCATTTCCCTAGAGCTTATGATATACAAACAACTCGACGAAAGCATCATTTTGTGTTGGGTGACGTTATGATAGATCTTGTCAATTACATATATGCCATGACGCCACGTTATTTTTTGGGTGATAATGCGAATGTAATGGATGACAATACAAGAAACTTAGACAATCATCCAAACATTAAAAAGAAGAAGAAGGAGACGACATTGTTACCATTCATATTGTTCTCCTAAATCCACCATTCCAAGCGAGTGACCTTATACATGTGGAACTAGCAAGCTAGTTAGGTCAAAGTACTTCCAAGAAGTGCGTGCCTGACCTCTCAGCATATCTTCTTCACTAGTGCCACATATATATGCCAAACTCTTGGAAGGCATGCGCAGTCACACAATGAAAGTCAGATACGGCATCTTGGAAACAATAAGAAGAAAGAGACGGAGAAACTTTTGTACTTTTTGTGTTTGGTCCTAAGCATGGCATTAAAGGCTTCATCTCAATTTTCATCCGAATTTCGAGACCATCGGAACGTAAAAAAATAGATAAAGGGTATTCCCTCTTTCTCGGAAGGATAAAGATTCGGGAGAAATTAGAAATGCGAGGCGAACCAATACGTTAAAATAAGGAACGCGTCCGTGGAACCATCGTCCCTGTATATCAAACGGACAGACCGCGAAGGCCCTCATAGAAGTGAAAGCTCAGTTTCTTAATACAAATGAAAACTATAAACTTAATACGAAAGTTAGTAACTAGGTCGGTAAGTTACTAAAATGGAAGGGGACAAACCTAAAAGTTGTCGAAAGTTTACTCGGAGAAAAGTCGACGAGACAAGCAAGTGTCCCGGCAATGTCCCGGCATCCTCGTGCTGAAGATAAAACCTAAAATGATTGCATATATATAATAATATTAATACCTTTTTTGGCTAAAAAAATAATATTAATACTTATGGTGTTTGAAAGTTGTCCGATATATGCAAATGAAATAGACAAGAAAACGAATGATTGAATTTCTTGAATTGAAATCGATATATGGCAGCCTTCTGGTGCGCCTGCGTGGTAAATGACATTAGATTGTGTTGGACAGAGGTTCCAAATATAGTAAAACGGGAAATATAAAGCAAGTAAATTTGATTATTATTAAGAGATGGCGATGCTTAACAACCCTTCACTTCAGTCCAGTCCAACAAAATCCTCTCCTAAATATGTACTTGTAAATTTGTCTCTATCATAAGGGTTTCTTACGTGCTTCATAATCGTTATTTTGGGATCTCGTTTCTCACTTAATGGTATATTTCTAGGATGATAAATGTTGATCACGCTAAACAGTCGCTCTAGTCTGGTCACTACGATCGCACACCGAGGAATACGTCCAATGGAAGTATCGCATGGAATGGAGCAGTCCGATTGCATTGGAAGAAAGAAACTAGCAATGCAAGGCATAATAGGACGGGTTTACAAAGACCGTATACTAATTGATGTGGCATATTGCAAATGGTCAATTTAAACAAGTTGGCAATACACAACAGTTGATAACAATCTGCAATATCAGCTAGTATACATACTTTTCCAACGTGTCTTAGAAAATATTGCGTTTCTCAAAAGGATATAAATCATATATGTATGAATCACCCGTCGATGATGGACGACATAATATGTCGATTCACTTGGGTGTGATGAGTACAAGGAAATATTGTCCAAGGGCATGATCAAAGTACGTGTAATGTAATACAAACTGTTTCATGACCATATTAAAGTAGGTCTAATAAGGCAAATTAAGCTTATAATAGCTCTGTTACATTTTTATTTATTCCGCTTCTCTATATACTAAATCTACATAATCTATCTCCTTCTATACATTCGTCGCGCTACTTAGCTCAACATCTTTATTATGCTGTAGAGTGCTCTTGTACCGATATCGATGAGCGACGACCAAGTAGTACACAAAATTCACGATCCCCATTCCTGCCAGAAGAAAGTAGTAACAGTCCAATCTCCCGACGTTGAGATCGTTCGCAAGCCAATTGGGCTGACCATCTTTCCCGGTCACGCGGTGCACCACCGTGACCACCAGGCTACTGAGGTAGCTGGAGCCGGCAAAGGAGCAGAAGAACAAGGAATTCGCAATGCTCCTCATGTTGTCCGGGAATTGCCGATTGAAGAACTCAATCTGCCCAATTATGTTGAAGGCCTCGCAAAAGCCCATGAGGACAAGTTGCGGCGCCAGCCAGAAGACCGAGATCGGCGCGAGGGGGTGCGATTTAGCATAGGCCCTCCGGTCCTGTTCAATCAGGCCCGCGACCGCCATTGACAGGACCGAGAAGACGATCCCGATCCCGATCCTCTGGAGGAGTGTGATCCCGCCCTCGTGCCCGGTGACCTTCCTAAGGGCAGGCACGAGGAGGCGGTCGTAGAAGGGGATCCACAGCCCGATTGTGAGGAACGACATCACCATCAGCGAGCCGGCCGGGATCTGGAACCTCGGGCCGAGGTGGCGGTCCATCGTCAAGGCCTGAGTGATGGTGAACGTGCCTTGTTGGGTCATGGCCGTGAAAGAGACGATGCCCGAAGCCCAAATTGGCACGACCCTTACAAGGCACTTGACCTCCTCTACTCGTTGGACGCTGCACAAAGTCCAGCGGCTCGTCGGAGTGCCTTCGGCTGTCAGGTCGTTTTCGACGATCATAGCCGCTTTGTTTAAGCACCTGGCCACAGGAAGGGAATTTTACTAAGTTAAATTGGTGACCGTTAAAGCTAGTTGATCAGGTTTTTTAGTTAATCAGGCAGTTCCCAGCTAATGGACTAATTTTAAGCATCACAACTATGCCAAGTTAAACATATCATAATTCAAATCTTATGTACATTTATGTTAAGTGTCTAAAACTAGCAATTTCATCAAACCTTGGTGGTAATAGACTGCTATAAATGGATTGGCCAAGTGTGTTTGATAAAGAATGTCTGTCCATCTTCACGTGTATCATCTTTTCGATGATATCAGCATGTATAATATGCACCAACCAAGATCTTGTGGATATATGTACGTCACTTTTTTGCTTAAGCATCCGATCAATAGATTATTATCAAAAGTTTAGGAAATCAAAATAGTATTTATTTGAGAAAAAGACGTGGAACGTGATGCAGTGGACAAAAAGAGAGCAACGCATAACCTGAACTCATCTGTGAGCGGAAGCTTCGACAGTAACGCCGCCTCCTGCGCCGGTGGGTCGTAGTATGCCACCTTCGCCACCTCTGACCCGCCACCATCGACATCCGGGATCCTCAGCCGCCGCTTCTTGAAAGCTGCCGCGAACACCTGGACGATCTCGGTGAACACGCTCCCCTCAGGTTTCACGTGCATGTAGATCCTCGTCCCGAAGAAGAAGAGCACGATGGAACAGAGCATGAGGATCGTGGGTATCCCGAAACCTACGACCCAACTCACCGAGTCCTGGATGTAGACGACCAGCGTCTGAGTTATCAGCAACACGACCGTGAACGACGCGTAGTACCTGTTAAATGGGATCAATCCAAAAACTTAAGCGGTTAGGTTAAGAAAAATGAATAAAGGAACCACGCGGATAGATAAACGGTACCAGTTGTAGAAGCTGTTGATCCCTCTCACTCCTTCCTCGGTGGCAGGATCGAACTGGTCGACTCCGAAGGGGATGCTGCACGGCCGGATCCCGCCAGTGCCGATGGACAAGAGACCGAGGCCCAGGACGAGGACCCCCATCTGGCCTCCTGTGGGGCTGACGCACGGCGGGTGGGAGGAGCTCATCGACTGCGGTGGGGCGGTGCACCGCGGAGGGTGGAGCTGCGGTAGCCAAGCCGACAGGGTCATCATCAGCATGCCCTGGCGATTTTGAGCGTTTTAGATGGTGGGGGACATGAAGTTTGAAGAGCTCATTTTTAACCATGTATTATTGATTATGCAAGTTCACATTCACAGTACTTGGCTTCAATTTTTGTTCTGGTTTTATTTTCACTTTCGAGTTTGGTCTGACGAATATATCCTTTAGTTGGAGTTATATTATCAGAATTAATCAGCTATCACTAAGAAATTTTGGAGAAATAAATTTATGGAAGTTTTATTGGAAGGAAGATTTTCCTTTCAGGTGAGAGGAAAAAAATCATACATGCTGAGATAGTAAAATTAATGATCAGACATAATGATAAAACAATGCGAAAAATGTGAATGGAGCAAATATACACGATGGAAGCATTCGACGAAATTTCATCACATCAATCTATAAATCAAAACAAGTCTTAGTACATTCAGCATCATTCGTATGTATACCATTAAGGGTTATTTCTCCCGGTACCTCATGAAAGAAATTTGTATAAATCGCTTTAATCGGCCGAATTAGGTCATTAATCATTAGCTTAGCTCATTAATCCCATCCGGAATAGGTCAAAGGGGAAGTGATTGCATGGCCAAAGTGGAAACTCTCATCTTCCTAATTTGCCACTACACAATCAAAACACGTGAAAAGCATCGAAGTCCAAGACTCCAAGATGAGCAAGCAGATAGAATCCTTGAGAGACAACAATGAAGACAATGGGAAATATATAAAATAAAAGCCACCAAAAGTATACTGTCACTTGGACCTACTTCTCGTGGAGTGGTACCACCACGTTTGGGCTTCTTCCACGTTATGAACCTCAATACACGCATGACCAGCACATGTGGGTCAACGTGCATATAATAGACCATCAAGGTAAATATAATGGTGCGTTCGATTCACCTTTTGTCTGTAACCCCAGAAAAAAGAACGAAACGTTTTGATTATATATTAAAAACACCAGAAAACTCGGTCAAATTTTCTTGTTGTTCGTCGTAAAGAAGACAACATGCAAGAGCGGTTCTAGCTTCTTTTAATCTTTAGTGATGCACCGAAGTATGTGATGATTAGTGGACTTTGTGATATGAAGAATTCGATAGGAGAAACCCGTGGAAATTATTTGGTTTTGTCGGTGTTGGTTGAATACCAGAAAAGAGGCGAAGGATGCGAAGGCGATGGTGCGGAACCGGCCGGCATAGGCGTCGGAGATGAAGGCGCCCACCAACGGAGCAAAGTTGGTGATGCCGAACCAGATGTTGATGACGTTGGAGGCCGTCACCTGGTCCATGCGATACACCCTGACCAGGTACACCATGAAGTTCGCTAGCAGTCCAAACGTTGCCAACCTCTCGAATGTTTCGTTTCCTGTAATTCAAAGGAACAAAAAAGGAGAGATTTCGTCAGCTAATACAGAGAAGACGAGATACCACCACCCATCCAGACGATGAAATCTCTAGAAGAATGGAACTTTCACGTGATGAAACTCGTAAAAGAACATAGATCTTCGTTAGGGTACGAGAGAGAGAGAGAGAGAGAGACCTAAGATGTAAGGCATGGCTTTCCATCCACCAGGCTTCTTTTGGATGGCGGCGGCGGAGGCTGCCTGTGCACTGAGGCACGGCGAAGCTGCCCCATGCCCGTTCATTTCGTCGGAGCCCTTGTTCTCCGGAGAATTCGGTGCCGGCGGCGGCGATGAAGGTTTGACAGGGAAGCATTTGGTGGAAAGAAGCAAGGAGAGAGAAGCAGTTGAAGGAGGCTTCTTGGTGCTAGTGTTGTTAACCTCAGACCCCATCTCTCTCGTTCTTCTTCTTCTATAATCTCTCTAACAATCCTAAGCCACACACACTTTTTTCTGGAACTTGGGAGATTTTAGTGAGTTGGAATGATCTTCCCGGTCGGCCCCCTTCCCAAGAAGTCTCACCACCCGAGTATAAATAATCACAGAGAGAGAGAGAGAGAGAGAGAGAGAGAGAGAGAGAGAGAGGTGGTGCATGTTTTGTACAGTCGACAGGTACTGAGGAGGGAGAGGATGATCAAGTGGCTGACGATACCACGATGGTTACTGTCCCACGGGAAATTACGGTCCGAGGCATATGTTTTGTCTGCAACGTGACACTCCTTATCTACACGCATGGTTTCAAACGAAATCCGTTCCACTGAAATTTGTCCTATTTTGAGGTGAAAAGCAATAATTTTGATGCAGACCCATTTCCACTTATCAAGTTTTACGGGCAAAATCAATACGGTAGTGCGAGAACTGCACAAGCACTTCCCTTGGCAGGACCTTAGCGAGGATTCTGATATTCATTCATCGTATCAACTGTCATTCATTTGATGCAGTAAAATGAGTCTCGGCAATAATTTATGTCAAAATGTTCGTTTAAGTAGAGATATATATCTTCGGTGAGTTAAGTCCTTGCCGTGAGTATACAATCAAATTACATGACCAAATCTTTACCCTCTTACTCTTAGATGACATCATTTCTTTTCGACTTTCGGGTCAAAGTAGATTGAGATGATAGCCAGAGGAAAATATCTTTCTAATTTCACCCGACATGGCTAATCACGAGCTCTTAAAATATAGATTCCATGTTAACTTTAAGGTTAATACCACGAAAAACCCCAAACTGGTACACCTGTGATAATTTTATCCAAAACTATTTTTTTGATCACTAAAAACCCCAAACTGATAGATTTGTGACAAATTTACCCTCCGTTAGTTTTCGTTAAATTGAATTAATACAAAAAAAAAATCACAAACTGATACTCGTGTGACAAATGGATGGTAAAACATAAAATCGGTATATCAGTTAACTGTCACGTGTCATTTAACAAAAGCAATTGAACAGTAAAATTTAACGGAAACAATCTGAGGATAAATTTGTCACAAGTATACCAGTTTGGGGTTTTTTGTGGTCAAAAAAATTAGTTTGGGGTAAAATTATCACAGGTGTACTAGTTTGGGATTTTCCGTGGTATTAATCCTTAACTTTAATATCAAGATACATACCGAATTGATTAGACCCATACCTTCATACTTCTATACCTAAGACCTTTTCCACTAATCCTGTGCTTCAAATCATATTAGAGCAAGGATTCTTGAGCAGGTTGGAGATGGGAAAACTAACCAAAAATTTATTAAACTTATTGTAATTGTGTCAATTCAGTCCTTAAACCTTTGCAATTGTGTCAATTCAGTCCATTCGGTCAATTTTGGCCGATCGGCAGTGGCGTGGACGTCGGCTGATGCTGACGTAGATAATTTTTTAATAATATTTTATTTTATTATTTTCTTTTCTTTTATTTTCTTTTTCCTTTTCTTTTTTCCTTTCTTCCTTCTTTTTTTTCCCACTCGCCGGCTAATGGGCGGGGCGAGCCTCGCCAGGGCCACCTTCACACGCGACTACTCCTCGTGATATGGGCGCCAGGCATGGGGGCTTTGTGTGAGGCGACCTTGCCGGACTTGGGCGAAGGCGGCCATGGCCTCGCCAATTGCGGGTGAAGCCGCCTTGCTGGTCACTGTGGGGAAACAAAGAAGAAGGAAGAAACGAAAAAAGAAAAGGAAAAGGAAAATAAAAAATAAGAAATTAATAAAAAGAATTATAAAAAAATTTATAAAAAAATTCTCTACGTCAGCGTAGGTCGATCAAACTGGTCGAATGGACTGAATTGGCATAATTGCAATAGGTTTAGACTGAATTGGCAAAAAAAAAGATTAGGACTGAATTAGCACAATTTTAATAAGTTTAAGACTTTTTTGGTAATTTTCCCCTTTTCATTAAACCTTTTCCAAAATTAGTCTATGGGATAAGTGTACTAGAAGTTCTAAAACTTGTCACGAAGATGCAATTGAGTGCTAATAATTTTAAAAGGTGCAATCAAGTCCTTATATTAACTCCATTCAACTTGACAAACGGAAAATGTTAACAAGTTTTAGGACTTGATTGCACTTTTTGAAAGTTTTAGGACTCAATTGCACTTTCGTGACAAGTTTTAAGACTTCTAGTACACTTATTCAAAAAAAAAATGAAGAATTGTTTTCAAGGAATAAAATGCTCCATGTATTAAAACAGTCTAGAATTTTTTTTATCGATTTTGGCTCATAGATTTATTTGGTTTTATGTAAATGTGAACTGGACTAGTGCAACTTCAATTGCGTTGGCCAAATTAAGGCATCCTCTAAAAAAAAAAAGTGAAAAAAGGAGGAAATTGACTGCAACTGTTTATTCGCTGTGGGCATGCCACTTTACCTACCAAAATGCCATTTTCAAAATTCAATTGAGTTTCTAGCATAACCTCTCTCTCTCTCTCTCTCTTCTGAGGTGAGTAAAAAGTGCGTTTGGTAACTATCTCATCGGAATTGAAATGAAAAATGAGAGCAATGATTTTTCTCTTTGACTGTGGACAATTTGAGATTTCCTGTTCATGTTCGTTCCCATCCCCCTACTTTAACCAAGATGATATGGTGAAGAACGGGTTCTAGTTTTGATACCAATTGATCAAGAACGAATGAAGCTCTTGTACCAATTGATGAAGAAGGGAAGCATGCACTAAAGATGGAGTTAGAGTCATTAGAAAAAGGGGAGATAGAAAGAAGGGGGAGGGGATAGAAAGTGGGGAAAGTCAAAGGAAAAGAAAGGAGAGAAAAGTCAATTCAGACCGGAGAGTAGACAGAGAGATATTCCGTCGCAAGATTAATTTCGACAAACACAAGTATACGATTTTCGTAATCCACTTCTAATTGGCAAAAAAATATGAAACTTTTCAACTATACACACATATATATACATGTAGAATCATATATAGTATTTCATAGTTTTTTAAAACTTAATATTTTAAAAGATTTAAATTTTGACAGAAAAGTTAAATGTAACAAAAAGGGTTAATACCACGAAAAACCCTAAACTGGTACAGTTGTGACAATTTTACCCCAAACTATTTTTTTGACCACAAAAAAACCCAAAACTGGTACACTTGTGACAAATTTACCCCGAACTATTTTTTTGACCACCAAAAACCCCGAACTGGTATACTTGTGACAATTTTACCCCAACTAATTTTTTAATATTATTTTTTATTTTTTCGAATTTTTTTATTTCTTTTTTCTTTTTTCTTTTCTTTTCTTTTTTTCCTTAATCTTCTTTATCTTCAATTTCTGGCCGGTCGCCGGACCGGCCACCGGCCAGAGGCGGAAGCCGGCGAGGCTCGACCTCACCAGTGCTGGGCGAGGCCGACCTCCCCAACGGCCGGCGGGGCCGAGCCCTCGCCAGATCTGGTGAGGCTCGACCTCGCCTAGCGCCGGCGAGGTCGAGCCTCGCCAGGCGGCCGGCGGGGCCGAGCCCTCGCCAGCGGCCGGCGGGGCCTAGCCCTCGCTGGATCCGGCGAGGTTCGACCTCGCCGGCCGGGCGAGGTCGAGCCTCACCAGATCCGGCAAGGGCTCGGCCCGCGGTGAGCCCTCTCTAGCGGCCGGCGAGGTCAAGCCTCACCAGCGGCCGGCGAGGCCGACCTCGCCGGCTTTCTCCTCTGGCCGGTCGCCGGTCCGGCGACCGGCCAGAGGTTGAAGATGAAGAATATTAAGGAAAAAAAGAAAATAAAAAAAATTAATAAAAAATTCGAAAAAATAAAAAAAAATAATATTAAAAAATTAGTTGGGGTAAAATTGTCACAAGTATACCGGTTCGGGGTTTTTTGTGGTCAAAAAAATAGTTTGGGATAAATTTGTCACAACTGTACTAGTTTAGGGTTTTTCGTGGTATTAACCGAACTTATAACCCAATTTCCTTTTATTGTTGCATCATAATAATATATGGCAAGTGAGTATTTTAATTTTTTTTTGAAAACCGGTGAAGAAAGTGGTCCGGTTTCCATGAAATATGAGTGGTCAAGAATGCTCCATTATTGGAAAAAAAATGACGGAGCCATTAGCTTAGCAATATCCTTTTCAATAATCAAATCATCATTTAGGCTTATGAAACAATTGTCGGGAAAATTATCAAAAAAGGCCTAAATCTATTATTACGCCAATTCAATCATAAATTTTTTTTTTTTGCTAATTCAGTCCTAAATCTTTTACAATTGTGCCAATTTTGGCTGACCGACAGCCGATGCTGATTTTTTTTTATTCTTTTCTTTTTCTTTTTCCTTTTCTTGCTTTTTTTTACCCATAGTGACTGTCGAGGGCTTTGCGACCCTCGCTTGGGTTTGTGTCAGGCCATGGCCGCATTTACCTGCGCCCGGCCCTGTTGACATGGGCAAAGGCAGCCATGGCTTTGCCCGTGACCTGTGAGGACCTAGTGATGCCGGCAAAGGCAGCCATGGCCTCGCCAATCGCGGGCGAGGCCGACTTCACTCGCGGTTGGCAAGGCCATGGCGAGGGCTACGACCCTTGCCGGCCATTGTGGGGACAAAAGGAGGAGGAGGAGGAGGAGGAATACAATAAAATAACAATTATTTTAAAAATTGTGAAATAATATAAAATATTATTTAAAAATTCCACGTCAGCTTTGGCCGGATGGCTGATATCCACGTCAGCGCCGGTCGGCCAAAATTGGCCGGATGGACTAAACTGGCGTAATTGCAAAATGTTTAGAATTGAATTGGCAAAACAAATATGTTTTAGGACTGGATTGGCATAATTACAATAGATATAAGACTTTTCTGGTAATTTTCCGGGCTGGAGATCGGTATCAGCCGATATGATGCGGGTATCTGACTTAAGCCTCGATCGATTATTCAGGTTTGGATTTAACGGATTCAGGATTTGTCCTCAGGAATAACCAAAGTGGTTGGCCGTCCTGTCCTTCAAGTGGGGAGATCAACATAACCGGAGCCCACGAGAAAGCTCTTTTTGGCCAGCTAGTAGCAGTTTACACGAGTCTTTGCTTAATCGCATCGAACATTAGCCACATTCACGTAATCAAACAGTGCCTAATTTTATGGGAAGA